ATTTATTTAAAACATTGTAAAAAGTTAATAATTTATGTTAATTATTTTCCTGGGAATTGGAGTATAAGCAATTCTCTTCTTTCTTGATTCATAAACCAAAAAAAGAAATTTGGTGCAATATTCTATGGCAAATTTTAATTGTCTAGAATTGCAGTGATTAAATTAACAACACAAGTATTTGTAACATTATTTTGACATTCAGTGTGAAATCGTTCGGGACTGCATACTATAATATCAAAAAACTTACTAATACACCTTATCTTGCAACCGAAGTTTATTACTTCTAACGTTTTCGGTCTTGTTAAAAGACCTTTCTCAACAAAAATAAAGCAAATAAAAATAAAAATAACTATAAATCGAACGCTTAGTACCTTCTTAACTTCGGCTGCAAGATAAGGTGTATTAGTAAGTTTTTTGATATTCAGTGTGAAATTGAATCACAGAGCATTCTTTGGGAAAAACAACAGAATGTTGGGCTCTCATGCACCACACACCTGGTGATGTTGTGACTTTATGCAGACAAGATTATGACATTGAGAATCAGAGGCAGTTTTCTTGCAATGCCACTCACTGTTTCCAGATTAGGGAATTTTTATTGACTGACAGAAAATTTAGGGAATCTTTTGGGGGTGACATATTCACTTTGATCTTTTTTTCAGTAGTGTAAAGCATAAAAATTTTAACATGACAGAACATGTGAAATTCTGTTTAAGTATTGTGATCAAAGGTATTGTTTGGAATTATTCATTAAACAGTTATTCAAAAATGATTCCTATTTGTAAGTGACATCTTAACATGTTACATTAGGTTTCCAGACTCCAAACTGATAAGGCTACCAGCACCTGCATTAATTAGTAAGTAAAATTGGTGGCAAAAAAAATTAAAACTGGCAAAATGGTTGATGTTTTTTCCCAGAGTGACTTCTGATGATTTTTTTTTTTTTTTTTACTATTCAAAGATTTTACTTTTGTTGAAGATTGATTCATTGTCAAGAATTTTTTAAAATTTTGCCATAAATAATATTGAAAGAATAAACTCATTTTGTATAACTTAATATTGTAATATTTTTGTTGGTAATTGATAATTTTTGTTGTTTTATTTTTATTAAAACATCATACATATACTTGAGTGTTACCAAAACTAAACATTATATATGTAAATACATCTATATCTATCTATCTACTGTAAGTGGACAATGCAATTTATTAACATTATTGCTGGATAATTTAAATCTGTGTTTTCATAAAATTTTGAATATATGTCATATTCTGTAACTTGAAACTTGCAAACCATTATTTTTTAGAAGACAGGATTGTTTTCCAAACTAATTAACTCTTTTTTTTAGCATTAATTGCTGTTTATTTTTATCAATATTACAATTAGTTAAACCTGCTACTGTATATTTTTAAGTGATGATAAAAAAATTTTATAGGGATAATGTAAAAGCAAACAGTGACTACCTTCAAGACAGTTCGTGATATATATGTACGCATATACTTAAAGTACACTCTTGGTCAAAATATTTACCACTGTTTAGCACTCCAATCTAGCACATAATGCATTTCACTCATATAAGTTTGGCAGTATAGTGATATAAATGGCAGAGATAGTGCAAATGTAAGACTGTTACAGTTTTTATTGAAGTTATGATTTTAATATGAATATAATATTTGTTACTACCAAATAATCAAGCACACATCAAAGAAAGGAATGTAGGTCTAGTATTTTGCTATATTTGACCTTCTTGCTTTTACATTACTTCGTCATTTTGGTACAGATTTATAATAGGTTCTTGATCACAGCTGTGCTGAAACTGGTAACAGCCAGAGTAATTGCATTAACAAGTTCCTCACAAGTATATCTACACTACTAAAAGATACTATATATTTTCTATGATATTTACCTTGGACTTCTTGTAAGCCAGTGCATATCGTCTACATTGTTAACTTAGAATTATTGGCCAACAATGATTCATTTGACTTTACCTTGCTATCAGACTGGCACTTGATCCTTAGGGAAGAGACATGCTGAAGATCCTCAGATAATCACTGTTGTTATACTTCTGATTCTGAGAAAATAAAAGTTGTTCAGACTATCCAGAGAATACTTTTCATCTGAAAAACTAATATTAAAATTGTATGCTTGGAGAAATGGAACTAAGCAAACTCAGTGCTTCCACTTGTACCTTGATTGGTGGCAGTTTCTTTAATATTTTACAGTAGCTAAAACCCTCCTGTGGCAGAACCCAGTACAGGTATCCCTTGATTGATGATTAATTAATGCTTGATGCTACTACATATATCAAAATTGCATTAATCAAGTACCGTGGTACTCGGTACTTTACTGAACAGTCACCACCTGCTAGACCATATTTTCTGTTAATAACAAATATTTTAATTTTAATTTTGTCATCTGTAAAAAAAATTTTCTATGATAAAAATGTGTAACTAATTTAAGAATAAAATGAAGCTTTAGAGCTGCATACCTGGATAACAAACTAAGATTTGTTTCAAGTAAATAAGTTGTTGTTCATCAATTTTTAACAACTTCTTTCCAAAATTTCTGTTAGTCAACAATTTTTGGGCTCCCTGTACATTTTGTATCCTTTAGTTCAAAATTTCCAAAATGGAACTTTTAAACAATCACATTTGACATATCAGATGTATAGGAACATCATACACGTGAATAAAGGATATAACACTGTTTAAATAGTGTTATATCCTTTATGAAACTTTAAAAGTGTATGTAATATGTCTAATATGCAATTTATCTGCAGACATTTTGATTTGATTTTATGCAAACAAAATATGAAGTAAAGTTTTAAAATAAGTACTTTTAAACACAGAATACAATATCTCATTAGCAGTAATGTGTTAAATTTCACAACTACAGCAATTAAACTATGTATCTATATTGGAACTCACCTTCAGCAGGAAAATAACAAATTAACCAACATTCTGTTTACAGATAAAAACATATTTATGTTAAGTAAAGACAGCTGTTAAAGCCACATTAATTAAAACTTCTCCTGCATATATAAAGAGATATTAATTTTGCATATTAATCAAATCTCTCGTTAATTGAGGGATAGCTGTAGACAGCAAGATACATTTAGATCCAGGGATTTCTGGAAGCAATGATTCATCAGAAGTTGATTTTTGTCTGATCATTGCCTTTGCTTTCTGCAACAATGTTTCCTGTTCTGCTGTTGCTGTTGCAGTTATGGGTGATAATAATAGACTTTCTGGAAATGCATATCATTTCCTCCAATTCTTTCAATTTCTAAACAATTTTGTAATTCTCAACAAGGTCTTATGAAAATCTTTAGAATACGTTGCACAGAATCCACCTAATAGTCTACTACCAAATCAAGGCAGAACTTGATAATGCACCCCCAAGAACTCACTATTCCTATTGGTTTTCCTTCTGACTGTACATTTTAAAGAAATCTTGCAGAAAGATCTGGAAATTTCAAGAAACTTTCTGAACATCTTGACCAATCTTTTATTTGCTGCATCTGAGTTATTCCTGCTTTAGTCTTCACTTATTCTAGCTATCTTATCAACTCTCACTTCAAAATGAAATCCATTATTATGTCCAGGAGTGTAAATAAAAAGTATAATAATGGCATATTTTTTAGATCTAAATTTTATTATTACTGAAATATTGTGATAAGAGAGTTATAGAAGAAACTGTTTGTTTGTTTTCCAAAATTATAGGAGTAGGTAATGAGAAATTGAGTTTTTCTGTACAAAATGTTAAAATTTAATAAGTAACTGAAAAAATTCAAATTATTGATGTTTTAATGTTCTTAATAACACCTTCCTTCCAATCCCAAGATAACTTGTCTGACTTGTAACTTTTCCAAAAATGAATGGATTGGTGCATATACATCGTTATCTATGACCTATGCAAATTTCATGAATTTTTTTGCCACAAAAATTTTTTTATGATGATTTATTAATTAGCTAATTAATTGTGATATTGTTTTTTTATGGGAGTTTTTTTAATTAAATTGTTCTAAACTTCTATTCACCGATTTGACATTGGTAAAATTTTTTAAAACACTATTGGATGTTTTTTATGACATCAGCAGTTTTTTTTTGTTTTTTATTGGGTAGAATTTTTTTATATGTACCTTGTTTTCGCTGCCTTTCCGTATTTTAATAGCAAAAAAATCAGAAATTTTGTGTTATATTTGAATATATGTGGTAAATTATTCCATACTGCTTTAAATTGATCTTTTACATGAGAATGTTCTGGAAAAGCTGCCACCAGCTATTCTCAAGGTCAACTGGTTTGTAAACAATGTAGATTGCATGTGTGAAATTTTACACCTTGTTAAATGAAAGAATAACACTCCCTGCAGCTATATTTATCAAATAAAAGCATTTTTTAGATTATTTTTAACTTTTTATATAGTTTTTTTTTTTAAATATAAAAAAATTTAATTACTGGAAGGAATGCTCTGATTTATGACGAATACCTAGGATTGAAGGTGAAATAAACTTTGATTAATTACATGCAAAGTTTTTCAATACTACAATTAATATTCTAATTTAAATTATATACTAATAAATTTTTCCATATCTGATAGCGTAATTTTAGAAATACAAGATTGATTGTATTTATGAAATACAGTAAATACTTTGTAATATAATTTTTATTTTTGTAAGGATAATTTTGATGCAGTTGTTTGATATTCTCTTCTTTATGATAATTATTTAGATTATCAAATTTTAAATATGATGTCAAAATAGATCTCTCTTTATTTGTTTTGAAAGAACATTGGACTATATCATTAATATGTTGTTAAATAATTTTCATAATTTCCTATAAAGAATTTTTATACTATAATTTCAGTTAAATTTTTAATTTGTTTACCTAATAGAATGTAATTCTTGTAATATCTATAACTTCCGAGAATTAGAATAAAAAAATAATAATTTTCTTAATTAAGTGTAGATAGAATGTTTGAAATCATTGATATTTATTTTCAGAGTGTTAGTCAACAAGATTATTCTTCCAAGCTTGAAAATTTAGGCATTAATGTAAAGGCAAAAAATTTTCTTGTCTTCCAAGGAGCTGTTGAGTCAATTGCCATGAAAAATCCAAAAGAAAGAACTGCTTTGTTTGAAGAAATATCTCAGTAAGTATTTCCTAAAGGTTATCAATTTGAATCTATAATTCAATAGGAGCTTTGTTTGTTTGATTTTTGACAGCTTGTCCTTAGTATGGAAATAAATTTGAACATATTAATTAAATAAAGCTATTTAACTTCAACTTCATAGATAATTATTATAATATAACTATAATTGTATATGCAGTGGTCGCTGCTTATTGTCATCACTGGTTAATGTTATCAGCCACTTAATGTAATCAAATTCCATTTTCCCAACCAGTTCTATATTTCCTGTGTAAAATCTTGATAATCAACCAGCTGCTTATTGTTATCAGATTAAACTAGGGCATTTATGATATTTATAACTAATAAATAAGAATTAGTTTAAGAACATTTTGATTTTGAAGCATTGGTTATTACTTTTCTAGAAGTTAAAATAAAACAACTCTCAGAATCACTGGGAGGGATAATTAACCCACAAGAACTTTATTATATCCCGGTAACGACAAATTTTAATTAATACTATTAACGTTTTCGACCATAATCATGGTCTTTCTCAGGTTTTTTGACCAGTACAATTTGAATATGGAACATGTTGAACAACGTGTTTAAATTATTTTAAAATTCCAAACATTTAAAAGTTAGAAGATAATTTTTTAGCCGTAAGTGCTACAATAGTTATAAAAACATCCTTACAAATAAATAATAAGATGTACTTAATACAGTTGCTGGCCAGTCTGGCTTTGTATATTTCCAGGTTGCAAAGGTGCTCCACCTGACATGACATTTTCACTAATTTGGCCTTATGGAGGTCTGCTTGAAAATTAATATCTCTTGGCCATGTCAGCAGCAGGAATTACTTAAGCACAAGGAACTTTTTGCACCTTCCTCAGCCTAGTGCTCGCTTACAAACATGTAGCACCAATCACCACATGCAAATAGTTTTACTACTTCTAATTACTTCTTTCTCATCACCTCTGCCTTTGTTGTGGCCAGTTGTATACATATATTTACGCTACTTCTCGTGACAACGTACACATTTAAGCACTTTGCTGCTTTGCAGCATTTCCTGGGTTGTACTACACCATATTCTCCAACTAAATCAACAACTTCCTGGGCTCCTTTTGTATTAAGACTTGTGTCATTATTCTGTTACATCTCTTGTTTTTACATCCAAATCACATTATTCAGGTTTCTCTGTATAACCATATCCTGTCAGCAACAATTGTATTTATGTTGTATTACTATTTATCTTTGTTATTATGTACCTCTACTCCTGTAAATAACTTGTAATTATTGTATCTAGCTGGAATTTAGATGTATCAATACTTGTAGATAATGTTATTTTCTTTGTGTAACACCTTATTTTATCTTTGTTACTTCTGTGATTCGTGTATTGCAAACAAGCTGCACTATATTTTATCAAGTTTCCACACCCGGCAGTGCACTGTGGCACCGGGAATGTACTTATTTTGTATATAATAAACTATATTGACATTGACTGACTGTATTTTGGGGTCCTTGGTGTAGGTGGCTAGGGCGGTGGTATGTTTTTGGTTGGCGATATCATACCCATGCTCTTGTATTCTTTTGCTTAGTAAGCGCTTCGTGGATCCAATGTATACTAGATCACGTTGGAATCTGTGGTCTCTGAGGTGAACCACCATGTATACACCAAGTACCCTACTTTCCTCAGTCCTGCCCTTGCCATTGTTCACTAGCCCATACACTGTGCTAGATCTCTTATAGGCAATCTTTGTGCCTTTATGGGTAGCAATCTCTTTATAGATGGAGTTTGGGTGCTGGTTGTATTGCACCACCATGCATGATTGGCTGATGCTGTGAATATGGGTGTCATTGTGCACAATACTCGCAACACACAAGTAAAGCCCGATGACACCCATATTCACAGCATCAACCAATCACATATGGTGGTGCAATACAACCAGCACCTAAACTCCATCTATAAAGAGATTGCTACACATAAAGGCACAAAGATTGCCTATAAGAGAACTAGCACAATATATGGGCTAGTGAGCAATGGCAAGGACAGTACTGAGGAAAGTCAGGCACCTGGTGTATATATGGTTCCCCTCAGAGACCATAGATTTCAATGTGATCTAGTATACATTGGATCCACAAAGTACTCACTAAGCAAAAGAATACAGGAGCACGAGTATGATATTGCCAACCAAAGGCATACCACCGCCCTAGCCGCCTACACCAAGGACTCCGAAATACACACTGGTCAAAAAACCTGAGGAACACCATGATTATGGTCGAAAACATTATTTTTAATTAAAATTTGTCATTACTGGGATATAATAAGGTTCTTGTGGGTTGATTTTCTAGAAGTGTTATTTAATAATTATCTTTTTGCCATTTTCTAAATATAACACTGATTACAGATTTATTATAAAGTGTTCTGTGACAGTTAGTATATCACCAGTTGAAAACTGCTGTTCTATGATTGTTACTTCTGAATAAGATATTTTTAGAACATCAAAATCTGTAAATAAATAAACATTGGAGTTACCATTGTAATCTTGTATCTGTTTTTATTTATGAAATAATTGATCTTCAGTTTTATAGTTATCACTTATTGTGCTATTCTATTAGTATTGTAGAACAGGGATGGCCAGACCTTTATTTTTATTTTTTTTCTGAGATTGGCTTCTGCTATATTAAAACTAGTTGTGCTCTACTGGTAGACTACAACTAGTTACTATGCAACAGCAAAAATGATGTCACTCTACTATGTTACATAGTATGTAACATAATTTTATAGTAACATCTGTTTGATACAGGTGTTACTATCAACTGTGACTTCCTACTATATGTATAGTATAAGCATGTATTCATACTTTCTCTCATTCATCATTTAATATTGAAAGTAATTTAATAGGATTTTTTTTAACTTGATAAAAATATAAGTATTATAAAATTGTGAATAGCAATTTATTAAAACTTTATCAGGATTAACTGTTGACAACCCTGCTGTAAACACATGCCCTGTTCATTGGCTGTCCTCCAAGATGGCATCTGCCAGATATTGTTATCAGCCACTTATTATCATCAAAACAATCTGAACCAATGTAATCACAATAAGCAGTGGCCACTGTATTCAAAATTATATAAAATTGAATATTATTTGAATAATTCAATCAAATCAATTATAGATGAAAAATGCAATAATACTACATAAAAAATAATAATAATATCTGAAATGAAATTTATTTGGAGAATGTTATATGTCTCAGTGTAAATAGAATATTCCATTAAATATATATCTATTTTTTGCTTCTTCTGTTCAGACTATTACAAAAAATTAAAACACAAACCCAAATCAATAAGTACCCAACTCTAAAGTAGGAGGCAAACTTCTAAAAAAAACTTAAAGAAGAAAAAAACATCACTGGTTTTTATTTTTAGACATTTCCATTACTTTTAAATATGAGATTATTATTAAAGGCTGTGATTTTTATAAGAACTTTTTACTTAACATTTACTGTTTAAAAATTGAATATATAAAATATCTTAGAATAAAATTATGAGTTTATTAATTACTAATGATTGATTGATTGAAAGAAAAAACAAGAAATATATATAAATAATAATAGAAGGAATTAAGAAGAGAAACTGCTTTGTTATAAAGAGTTATAGAATAAAAATGATATTTACTAGAATGAAATTAAATAATTTACTGGATAGAAAAACTTTTTAAAGAAAATTTTACAAATATTTGTTTAAGGTTGCTCATTCCTGCTATGAAATGCTGATTATTTAAGCTTGATATTATAAGATCATTTTTTTTTTTTGCTGAACTTTTATTTTAGATTTCTTGACTGTTTATTCGGTACTTCAAAACTGTTTATTATTGTATTGAAATAAGAGTTATAAAACCAAAAGTCACTTTGCATTCCTAATAAAGCAGAAGTTTTATTTATTAACATAATTTTATTTTAATATTCTTACTGGTTAATGATGCTACTCGTTTGCATGTATAAAAAACTAGTTTATAGTAGATTTTAAAAATCTTTTTATTTGTGGAAATTACACTTATTTTTATTGAAATAAAAATAATTTTTTAAAAATTAAATTAATTTTTAAATAAAAATGTTTTTCTGCATTTAACATTAAAAAATAATCTGCAATTATGTGGTTCAAATGATTACAGCTAATGGTATTTGGAGAAATAGTTAATGTGAAATCTTAAAAATTGTAATAATGTAACATATAAAAATTTACATTGATGATAATTTATTTAAAACAATAAAAATGTAAAAAAGAAGAGGATATTAAAAGTACACTACTGTGCTAATTAATGTGAACACATCATAATTAACACAATTTTGCTTTTTTTTCGCAGTTGGCAACATGTTTGTCATTTTGTTTTACTGATCTGACAGTCAGTGAGTAATAAGACATACCAAGCTACAGACGTGTTACATTTTGTTATTTTTTCGGATTATTGCGTTTTTGGTGAAGTTAAGCTGAACTGAGGTTTTATTAGCTTTTTTTGAAGACGGATATTACTCCCAAAAAGCACACTAAGATTGTTACTTTGAGTGAACACACATCAATGACTCAGAGATATTGCCAAGGAGTGTGGTGCGAGTTTAGGAGCTGTAAACAAGTTTTTGAAGCAACAAAGGGACACTGGGATGATTGAGGTGAACAGAAATGTGGAAGGAAAAGAAAGACAACAGCAAGAGATGAAGCTTTTTTAATAAGGGAAAGTAAATTAAACCATAGGAAAACTAGTCAAGAACTTCAAGACTTAGCACATGATGGAGTTATTGTTCATGACTCCATCATACGAAAACGACTTATAGAAAGTGGAAGAAAAATGGTTAGACCTGAAAAGAAACAGTTATTGACTGCTGCCATGATGAAAAAACGATATGATTGGGCAAAAAAATGTGCTGGACTGTTAAAGATTGGAGGAAAATGTTGTTTTCAGATGAGAGCCATTTTTTGGTACAAAGACAGCGATCCTGTTACATTAGAAAAAATGACAATGAAAAACTTACGGCAGCTCATATTGATCAAACAGTTAAACATCCATTAAAGATAGTCTGGGCTGCTTTTAGTATAAAGGTACCAGATTCCTTGTGCCGGTTGAAGGCGTGATGAACTTGCAAAAATACAGAGACTTGTTAAAACAAAGATTGGAAGTTGAACTAGGAAAAGTTGATGCCAACAATCAAGCAGTATTTCAACAAGACTCGTCTCCTTGTCACGTTTCTAAGATCATGATTAAACATTGATTAATTAAACATGATTAAACATTGATTAGACATGATTAAACAAAGATAAAAAGATATCATGCCTTGAAGGGCCAGGAAATTCACCAGATCTTAATAGTAAAAGCTAGACTTCATAAAAAGATTGCACAACAAAAACAAAACTGATTGATGCTATAATTCAGATATGGATTTGAGACCAGCAAATAACAGAAAACTGTAAAAAACTTATTGATTCCATGCCAAAACAAGAAGTTATTAAAGCCAAGGGAGGACATATTTCGTATTAAAACAATTTAAATCATATTCATTTTTCGATTCTATTCATCTCTGACCAATAAATGTTCTTTTTTTTCAAATTTTTACTTGTGTTCACATTAATTTGCACAATACTGTAAGCAAACAATAATTTATTTGAACAGAATCATTCATTTATTTATTTTTTGTGTATGTTTCTAAATTGGTGTATTTTATATTAAAGATAGATGTTTATTACTGTTTTAGTCTTATTCATATTTTCTTTCATTTTAAAGAAAATTATATACAAAATTTATATTTTATCATATCAGTTCAGTTCTCAAAATATCTGGTTTTTAAATATACTAGTCTTCTTTTAATGGATTGCTTGGGCTGATGAAAATCATTCATTGTTCCAAGAATCCGTTATATTGCAAACAATGGATTTCTTGCACATCTGAAAGAATATTCATTATTCAAAAAAATTTGTTTTTTTAACTTCCTACATATAATAAATAACTACTAGAAATTATTTAGTCTCCTGAGATCTTTATTCTTTATTCTATAGAAACACATTTATTGCAAGATTGTATATTATGCCGCATGTGTATGCAAAATGTTGACAGAAACTGTACATACTAAAAGCACAAAAAGAAGCAAATTACATATGTTCATTAGTGTTTCACTCAATTTCACAATTTGTTAAAAAATCACCCATTTTGGTTGGTTTTGATGCCATTTTCATGCCTATTGAAAACAACAACCACTTGATATTAGCAGTCATGTGCAGCTTGTTCATTTATCTGAAATTCATTAGGAAAGTTTTTACAACTTGGAAAGACTTGATGGTGTCAGTAAATTTTGGCACTACACTTGGACAGTGTCAGAATGTTTACTAGGTGGCCCCTTCTTAATTATATCAGCCTGATGACTCTTTTTGTACAGTTCTTCAATTGTTCATATCGCAGATGTACCAAGTGAATCATTGAACTCTACAAATTCCTAGAAAAATCTAAATATTAACTAAGCATTGAAAACTATGACATTTGCAATAGATGGGGCTAGAAAAAAATATGTTATTCTGAAATATGGATCTGCTAAAAAAAAGTAAAATTTCATTGATTTGGTAGGATCTGGGAAAAGAAACTGGTATTCTGTAATCTGTTAAAACAAGATTCTAAAATATTGTTCATAATTTTAGAAGAAATTTTTCAGAATTATATTCAGTTATAGTAACAATCAGAAAATATTTAATAATATTTAACTAAAACAAAATTCTTGTTTTAAAATTTTATTAAAAAGTGCTATTTATTACAAATATTTCAGTTCCTCTGATCACAAGGATGAATATGAAAAATTACGTACTGAAATGATAAAGGCAGAAGAAGATACTCAATTTACATATCAAAAGAAAAAAGGAATTGCTGCTGAAAAAAAAGAAGCTCGTTTAGAAAAAGAGGAAGCAGAAAAATATCAACGTTTAAAAGAAGACCTGGTAATTTATCAAGAAAATTTAGAATTTTGTATTGCATTTAAACTTTATTTCTAATGTAACTATAATATTAATTACTACTACAAAAATATTATGACTATTTTATTAGTTTTGTTATATACTTTGGGGTTCAACTTTTCATGTTGTTTTATAACGATCCATGTTACATGTAATCAAAGATATTGTAATTTTTTTGGTTGCAACTTATAATAATTCTTTGGGAGATTCCAGAGTGAACTTGTGCTTTTATACAACAAATTTTTAATTTTTCAGTAAGACTGTCTTAACCACTTAGCAGTGAAGGATGGATATATTCATTAAATTCTTTTGGGTATTGCCAAAAACTACCACGAAAAAAAATTCGCCTAAAACATGAATTATGTAACAATAAAAAAAGACTTTTCTTTACTAGACACAACTGTTTACAAAATCTTTTTCTAAAATGGTAATGAGAAAAAATGCGCGGAAAAAATACTTTAAAAATTTCTTACGTTTATTCTCCACTACTTTGGGATAGAACCATACCTGACTAGTCCACTGTTGAAAGGTTAAAATTTATATATGAGTAAACAATAAGCTATAAAATGTAACAGTTCCTACAGAATATAGAAATTGTAATCCTCTTTAAATTTATAGATTAAACTTTATTATTTTAAAATAATTTTAACAGAAGGAATGTAAAACAAAAATAAAATTGAGTAAAGATTTAGATATTAAAAACTTTAATATCTAAATCTTTACTCAATTTTTAATAGACTTTTTTCCCCATGCTTTAACCAATCAGCATAAATTTTATTATGCTGATTAGTAAATGAGCATTTTAGACCACTGATCCAAATTCAATTGACTAAAAGTCATGTGAAACTGAAGAATGGGGATGTCTGGACTGAGTGTCTTTCATCAGATTATTCATTCTGATTCTTGTCAGCTGTCCATAGGTTTTTTTTTCCATCTTTCATTTTGACTAGCTTGCTTTCTTTTTCTGCCTATGGTATATAGAAATTTACTGAATAGAAAACTAAATTATTGTATTGCTCTCTCTCTCTCTCTCTCTCTCTCTCTCTCTCCTTTTATTATAGGATTGATATTTCTATTTTTTTACCCAAATAATCCCCATGGTTCTGCATAAAATCTGATGAACTTTTGTAATCAACTGCTTGTGCCATGTAACCACAAATCCTTATATTTATATAAATAATAATAATAGTTTTATATAATACAGTTATTTAAACTGTAAATAATAAAAAGTTAAACAAAGAATAATCTATGAGAAGACAAAATAAATGCTATAATTTAAAGTCTGCTGTAAATTAACAGATATAAAGTTTTCAAAAATAGGCAGATGGCACTTAAATTAAAATTGCTTAGACTCCTTGTCATTTTGGGCACTAGAATTGGCTTAAAATATTTTGTATTTTGTGATCTCAGATTTCTTTCTGGTAATAATCTCAATGTCCCCCTTTTGAATTACATCATGTTTGTTTTTCTGTGATAAGTATTTTCTACTCAAAATATTTTATTTCAGTCAGTCAGTAAGACTAATTTAGTTTTATTTTATTAGATTATATTAAATTTTACAGATTACTTTTAATATATATATAAACTCATCATTGTAAATTAATTGATATTATAGTTATGTATACGATAGAAAACAAAATTAAAGAAAGACTCATAACAGCTTGATCTCATTAATTTTTATTGACATTCTGCTTTTTAAACATTTAATAACTCACCCAGCTTAAAAAAGAATTCCTGTAATTATATCTGCATAAGTGATTTTGTCGTGTGATTTGAGTGCTTTTGACACACTGCCTTGTGATCAAAATCATGTGGTTAAGTGTAAATTAGATTCTAGAATTGGATGGAAAAGAGCTGGAGCTGTTCTTTGGGAAATCAAGATTTTTTAGCATAAAGTTAGAATTAAAATTCAAAGATTTTATAAAAAAATCTTCACAAAATTTCATATTAGACTCTATTCTTTGCTAAATAATTCAGTTTTATTTATCCTTTGTTTGTTCAAGAAAATTTACTGAACTTAATGTATTGGATTATAAAATTTACTAATTATCATTATATAATATATTAAGTATTTGTTAATTATGAATTTGACATCATAGCATTAATTTTTGATAATTAAAATTCTTGTATGCAATCTAGAATACAAAAAGATGGTTAATGTGTCAAGATACCAATATTAAGGTTTTTGGTGAACTTTATAAAAACTGTTTAAGATGTTCAATGAAACAAATTTAAGTTTTTATCTCTAATTGCTGCATCACAATTTTTACTTAATGATGGGGGCAAAAAATGGAAAAATGAAGAATGGTTGAATTGAATGAAGAATTAACAAGAATGATTGAAAAAATCATAAAAAACATCATGGTAGCGAGAAATGTCTATTTTTCTGACAAAAAAATTTGTGATATTGGAATATTGTAGAATGGGAAGAGTATTATGGATTGGTTGAATTTGATTGACACTACTGAATATAGACTCAAACTTCTTTTTGCAAATCAACCACTTTTTTGTGGTCCAAATCACATATAGAGATAATTTGAGATTTAATAATATAAATTTATAGATGTGTATTTTTTTAATTTCCAATAAACAAAAAGTTTTATCATTATTTTAATAGGCAGCCAAACAAGTGCAGTTTCATTTATATAAATTATATCATAATGAACAAGACATGGAGCGTCTTACAGAAGAACTTTCGCACAAAAACAGAGAATTAGAAAAAGTTTGTAGGAGGAGAGAGAAAATTGAAGAGGAAGTAAAAGATAAAAAAAAGGAACATGGTAAACTTCAAAGAGAATTGGCCAAAATTGAACAGCAGATCAGAGAGGCTGTAAGTAAATAAAAAAAAAGAAAATGTAACCTATAATTTTCTCAAATTAATTAGTCTTAATAAATTATAATATACAATTTATTCAAATAGGAAATAGAATTAAATAAAAAACGCCCAGCTTATATTAAAGCTAAAGAAAGGACAACACACATGCAGAAGAAATTAGAAACAGCAAAGTGAGTAAAATATGCAGATTGTAAATAAAATTGCTTAGATTCAATTTAAATCTGGTAAATATTGACATGCATTAAATTTTTAATACTAAAAATTCAGTAGAAATAAATATTCCTAGATAAATGCCAAATTTTCAATTATTACAGCCAGGTGGAATGACTGCCTCGAAGAAAATGCGGGGGTCTGAAGGTCATTCCGCTTGCAGCTCAGGTAAAATGCTTTCCTTATGTATTGTTGGTGCTCAGCCATGACTATGGTATTTGGAATGAAATAGAAATTGCTGCTTCCATTTTTATAAGATTCAAGTTATAGCATGATCTCTTTCTATCTGATTTGTAATTCAGAAAACTGTTTTTCTGTTTTTTAACACAATTCTAATATTTACAGAGAAAAGTTTTTGATAAATTAAATTCTTGATTCTGGATTATATTTTCTTTTTTAAAAACTGCTAGATTATTAAATAACTCTGACTTGTATAGCATATACTGTAGATTAAAACTGTTTATATTCATTTTTAGAAAGTTTTCAGGATTATAAAATTCTGCTTTATGTATTTCAGATTTTGTAATAATCTGTAAAAGAATTAAATTTATTTTGAAAACTTTACAAATTTTTTTATTAATGCCATTCATTAAAAGTAATTTGTGTTTCAGCCACTTTCTTTGAAAAATGAAATATTAAAACAATTTTCTTACAGCTTGTGATAGAGAGAAATTACTGTGATTTTGACAAATATATTATTAACTTTGTCCTAAAAAAGTTTGTTATATCATATTATTTCAATTAATCATGCATATGTATTATATCTTTTTATTGTGTTTTTAAGTTGTCCCTTACATCTTCATAAACAATTAGTTTATAAATGCTTGTTTTTTTATTAACTGTCAGTTCAAGATACTTCACAGAAATTTTACAATGTAAAAAAAAAAGAATTCAAATTATATCTGTTTTAAATAATCTTTAATGAAAAAAATTACAGAAACAATTTTTTTCCTTTTAATTTTGAAAATGTTTGGATAGATCTTTGGATTGCTTTCTAAGATCAGCTAAAGCCAAACTAGTCTATCATTGTTGTTTGATGATTCAATTTTACCAAATTACACATTTCTATCATTAAATTGAAATCCAGTGATATAGAGTTATAAAGAAAAATTTGCAGAGTATTATCTGACTATTATTATAGTTTATATCCCTAAAAATATTGTAAAATTTTAATGTAAATGATGATAAAATTACAAAAATAAAGAATGTATTTTAAAGAAGAAAGGAAGGCAAGTTATGTTTGCTTATTGGTGGCACCAAAATAATTTTAAGAATTTAATGTAAACTAGAGAAATTTTAATTCATTTGCCTCTATGTCCTTATTGTATACTATTTTTGTTATATTATTGTCTACTTTAGACTTAATATATTAACCTATTCGATGTTAAAATTTTTATTTGTTGCCTGTGACGCCATGTTGAATTTTCATTGATGTTAAGCCTAAATTTTTTTTAAAATAATAATCGTGTTTACTGTATTGCAAAAAATTGTTTATGTTTCACAAACAAAATATATATATTGAATAATATAAAAATGAAAAAAATTTTATTTTAAAAGTTTGTTTTAATATAAAAATTGTGACGCAAAGCGACATCTAGTATCAAAAACGTTCCAATGTAAAATCTTTATTTTTCACCTGGTGAAAAACCAGGTAGAGAAATTTTAATTTGGGAAGAAAAATTGATATTAATAATTGCCTGCTACAAGATTAACAAATAAATTAAGTTTAAAGCTATTAAAGTTTATACAAAATTAAAAGGCTGGAGAACACAAAATTTGATAAGTTTAAATGTTAGACATGTAACAGAACTGAGTGCACTGCTATTATCATTGCCCAGAATAGCAATCATTTTTGTCTTAAACAACTATAAATGTGAAATTAATTAGGAAAGTATTTAATAAATATGTAAGTTATATCAAAATATATATAGTTACAAAAACTTTTAAATCAAAATAAGCTGTAAGTACTGATATTGTCAACTAAATCTTTGAAGAAAGGGACAAACAATCCACCATTATTTGGACCGTTTATTTTGAAAGTGGTGTAAGTCCATTTTTGGAAAAAATTGAGAAAACACATAATATGCATACAATTTAGTGTGAACTTTTTATTTATAAACAATTCACACTTAACATTTTAAAATAACCATAAGCTTTGATCAATTGAAAATTTATCGGTAAATGACATTGCATAACCATTGATTTTGAAAGTGGTGTAAGCCCATTTTCTACAGTGTAAGCATTTGGGCTGTCCATAAATTACATGCACATTTTTCTTGAAATTTTTACTTTCCCCTCTTGTTCCAGTTTTTCCAAATTTTTGTAACCCCTTTCCCTCTATGGATGTCCAACATAACTCTATCCCCGTTAAAACCTTCATCACTTTATGAATGATAGATACCATAAGTAGAAATGAAGCATACAAGAAACTTTGAAATAAATATAATAAAATGCATACTGTATAAAATTTAATGAAATAAATGGATGCCCACTAATACTCAACCCCCCTTGTCCGACTTGTCTTAACCCCCTCCCTCCCTTTCAGTGTGGACATCATTTAAAAACAGCCCCTTACAACAGAGGAGTAAAACTATAAATATCCAACAAATGTACAATTTGATGGAATGGAAAAAAATCCATGTAATGAATCTAAATGAAAAGCAGTGTTTAATGGTAAGCTCATAATAATGATAAACTTATCATAAAATAGTTTAGCAATAAGTAAATATTTTAATGTTCAGAATAAACAATACTATTTTATTTCTTGTTATTATATATGAACAAAATCAGACTAAAACACAATGTGTTTCAAGTGAAATTAAGTTTTACATAATAGAAATTTAATGAATTTTACAGTTCAATAATTATGAAAGTGGTGTAAGTCCATTTATGGCCCAGAAAGAATATATTAGTTTAGTTAAATTCACATAGAAATCCTTATGCAATCAACTTACATATTTCTAAAGTCATAAAAACATTGTCAAACTTATTACACTTTATTTATATTTTTGAATCAACTAAAATGCAAATGTTTAAATATCTCGAAAGAAGAAAAAATGGACTTACACCACTTTCAAAATAAACGGTCCATTTGTTAGTTACAGTTGAGTGGAATGCAATGCTATAGCAAACTGTATCATTTTTAATGCACTTTTTTTAAAAATATGCTTAAAAATTTAAATATATTTTAGGGATTACTTCACTTTTGTTGTCTTCTGTAATAAACAAAAAAACTTAATAATCTACAATGTATTTTCTGAATTTTTTTTATCAAATAAAAGTATAAAATTCAAAAATTCTGAATAATTCATACTCAAACTCTAATATTTGTGAATTAAATATTAGGAAGCTGTACTTATTAAAATATTTAATAAATATTATTAATGACAAATTGAAATTGGTTTACCTTATATGCAAATTAAATTTAAAGAAACATTCTGTAAGTCTGCTTCTGAGGAATTTTTATTAGTACATTTATTATCATAAATATATTATAAACCAGAGCCACATTCACTAATACAGACTAATAACTAAAAAATCTGAATGGCTTAAAACGAAGAGGAAATTATTATTTTTAATCTGAAGTTTATATTTTAACTTAGATTACATTGTAACAGTATTATGGTTAGTATATAATAATAATTTATTTATATTCAAAATTCATGATTACAGATAATTTTGTATTTTTGATTAAATATTATTCAAAGATACAAATAATTATATATTTATAATTTTGAATAAAATATCTTTAAATTTACATATAAGAAATTTATTTAAAAGTGAAGTACTGAATCTAAGCAATTTTTTCCATTATTAAAATTTTTCAATAAAGAATTTGAAAGAGTAATACTTCTTACAAAATCCAATAGGAAGTCTCTTAAAGCTGCAAAAAAAGTTCACGAATCTCATGAAGGTGAAGTTCAAGATTTAGAAAAAGAGCTAAGAGAAATTGAAAAGAGGCAGGAGGAATTTGAAGAACAGTTAACCCAAGAATCACAGTCTGAAGGTCGAGATTTAACATTAGAAGATTCTCAGGTATAAATTTTTTGGCTAATTTTATTGTAATTACAGTCTGCTTAGTTTGTCTGAAGATAATTTTCATTGGTGTAAAAATTGCATTTGTAGTTCTTTGTCACATGATACACTTTTTTTTTTAGTAGTTACCAAGCACATGCATACTGAGCAAAATTCTGTTTTCTTACTGAAAATTAGACTTTTAAGCACCTATTTTGGATAGTTTACTGAATTGAATTTCAGCTGAATACTTTAATGTTCTCTCTGCATTTATCATAATCATAATTAATGGTGAAAATAACATTTTTTTGTAAAATGTTCTTTTTAAAACATATCAGTGCATCAGGAAAACTTTGCTTTCCTGATGCACTGACATGTTTTAAAAAGCTGTTTTACAATTTTTTCTACCATTTTAAGAGACTTGATTAGGCTTAGTACAGATATTGTACATACATGCATAAAATAAAACAAATGTGGACAAAAATGGAAAAATATTTTCTGAAATTTTTGCTGAGACTGATCAAACAAGTTTGTTTGGTACTCACTTAACTCAAAAATTTTGTAAAATTGTAGCCAATAGAAATGATGATTACTCTAGTTACAAGGTCCTCTCTTGATTCAAAAAATGACAGATAAGTCCAAACATCTTTCACAGGCCAGTAAAAGATAAATTAGATATAAGATTTGATATATATATTTCAGATTGATTATTCAAAATGACTAGTTTCTAATGTATTTCATTTTGATGTTTGACACTTGTATTAACTGTAGTTTATGTATCTGTATGTCATTAGGTCTAAACAATATATACAATATTACAGCTTTAAACAATTTACAAACTTATTACAATGTCAGTTTACATAAGTTATGATATTATTTAACTAAGATATTTTTGCTAAGAAGTTGAAGTCTCCAGAATTGTTGTCCTAAACCACCAAAAAAGACCATGATGTGACTTCTGAAATGTGACTCTTCACAAGATATTTGACTTTAAAGTTTTGATGACATCACTTTCATTACTCATTTATTAATCTGTAAATGAGTTTTTCTTGTGCTGGAAAAGAAGTTTACTACAAAAGTCACAGCAAAAATATAAGAATATTGAATTTTGAAACAAAAATATATTTATATATTTTTTTTCTATTGATTTTATATTTATATATGTTGCAGTCAAAACCTGTTTTTAGTTAGAACGCGTTTTAACAAGTTGATACTAGTTTATACTGGATGTCTTTGTTAAAACCAGTTTTGTCTAGTTAAAACTAGTTTAAACTAGTTTAGTCTAGTTAAAACTAGTTTTAACTAGACTAAACTAGTTTTAACTCAAATTCATTTTTGACTAGCAGTAAATTCTAGTTTTAACTAGACAAAACCAGTTTTGTCTAGTTAATTTACTGCTGTACATGTTTTGATTTTAGATAAAACTAGTTTTAACTTTTAACATTAGTTAAAACTAATTTTAACTACATAAATGTGTTTGGGGGAAATAAAGTTATGTATAGTGATTCGGCAGAAGATGCCTAACATCTTGCTTATGAAGGAAATTATAGTGCTAATTTGGGTTTTGGAGTCCTCTAATAAAAATATCATATTCTGGAGTATGTTTTTCAAATAAAACTTTGGAGTTTATTAAAAAAAATTGTATATTGTGTTTGCAATGACGACTTTTTCACTGTCTGGCATTTTACGCATCTCACCCCAAGTATCCGGCTGAGATGCCAAATGCCATTAGGTAAGATAACAAATATAATTGCATAAAATTAATTTTTGAATTTTTTAACCAAATTTAATTTATTGCATATGTAGTACAAAGTACTTCATAGCAAGTATAACAGCACAGTATAAATATTGTTAAGTTTCCGCCCGTTCTAACGTGTTCTATAGCTAGCTGAAAGCTTTTTTTGTCCAAAAACCTTTTTGAGAAGTCCTTATATAATTGCTATGCATATCCTGCAATAAAACGAGAAAACAAAAATTTATTAAAAATAGGCAAGTTACCCCAAGAAAAATGTGGCATCTTTTGGGATTTTGTTGGGGTAAGATGCCTAGTAGAGTCACGTGCTCCAGCATGTCTGATCGGGATCGGTGGTAGCTGACAATGGAAACTTTAGAACCTTAACTACATCATACATTAATTGTTTTTCGCAGTTTTTAATAAATTATATTTTAACTTTTAGTTTAAAATTACTTTAGAAATATTTCACAACAAAAACTTCGTTCTTATCTAGCTTTTATTTTTCTCAGATGCAGAACGGTAGCCAACTACAGCTTTCTGCACTCAATATTGGCCCACGATTTATCATACAAATACATGACAATATGTGACGTCACCATTTGAAAATATCAAAAATTAGGCATCTTACCCCAAATCACTCTATATGTTGCAGTCAAAACCAGTTTTTAGTTAGGATGTGTTTTAAATAATTAAAACTAGTTATACTGGATGTCTTTGATAAAACCCGTTTTGTCTAGTTAAAACTAGAATTTACTGTTAGTCAGAAATGAATTTGAGTTAAAATGCATTCTAACTAAAAATGGGTTTTGACTGCAACATATATAATATATATGAAGTTAAACTCAGAATTATAGGAGACAGGGATCTTAATGATATATATTGTTGATGTTACTGTAGAATGAATGTCATATGATAAACTTGATGAATGCATCTTAAATTGGGTTGTTAACTCTTAACAAAATTGTTTATAATCTGTTAATGCCTATTCATTGTAATTATTTTGTTTGAAGTCTGCTTAATATCAAATTATTCTTTGATTTTAACTATGCTTATTGATTTTATTCTTAAGTGGAAACATTTATATAATTAGGTACAAGAATATAATCACTTGAAAGAAGAAGCTGGCAAATTGTCTTCTCGATACTTACAAGAATTGGATTCTGTGAACAGAGACCAAAAATCTGATCAAGATAGATACGATAACGAAGTCCGTAAGAAAACTGAAGTAGAAGCCAAAATTAAACAAAAACGTTCTGAACTAGATGAAAATGTTAGGAGATTGGAAAAGTTAAATGAATATATCAGGTATTTATTAATTTTTCCTTGAATTTTATGTTTTTTTAGAACAAAATCTTTGAGCATGAAATGTAAACAAATGTATAAATTTTTAAAAATAGATTTTAAATTATTTTAAATATCAAAAAAAGTTTAATTTTATGAATAATAATGATAATTTATATGATTTGAAAATAATAGTGCATGATTTACAAGCAATTTATAGAATGAGTGAATCAAAAATTTAAAAGTTTTTCTTTAAACATTGTCATCATATTTTTATATTAAATATCCTGGGAAAAACTATTCTATTGTCCTGATCATGATGTGTGATGATGATGTAATTGTATTTAACTTCTTTTGAATTACAATCAAAAATGATGTTTTTATATATTGCAGGATGTATTTAGACTCCCTTCTCAAATTTTATTGTAGATTTGAAAACTTACTAAATATATAATATAAATCATAGAATAATTTTAGTGCCTTTTGCACTTTTATTGATACCCATTTTTGGTTTTAATTGTTTGTTGATCATCATCATATATACATATACAGTGGGTGGTTGGTTAACGAACATAATACATTCCAAGACTTTGTTTGCTATCCGAATTGCTCGTTAACCAATTATTGATTTACCATAGGCTTTTGTGGGAATTTGATTAATTCGTTCTGGAGATCCCAAAAAATAAAAAAATATATACTTTCTTATTACATTTATATTTTATTTTTATATTTTTTATGTATTACATTTATTTATATGTAATAATAAAAATGCATATACACACAGTCTTGTATTTTTATTAGTCATGTTTTTTTATTTGTAGGGTTAAAGAATCTGCCTAATGTCAATTGCTTTTCTCTCTACTTCAGGATTTTTCAGAATTAATTAATAGCATTGTAATTGTAGAGATCCTCAAGCCTAATTAACCTCAACTTGGTTTGGATGCCATTCTAAGACTGTTGTTCTGACATCCTCCCACTTCTTCAAAAGTTCTTTAATAGCAGATATCGGCATTAATCCTCTTTTTCAGAAAAAGACATATCTTGCCGAGTTTCTCAGTGTTTTTCATTCAAGAGTTCTTGGCATTCTTCTGTCGTCAAATCCATTTCAGGTTCCATTATGAGCTCTTCAATGTTCTTTATTTCTCAGATGTGATTTTTGTTACTCCTTTAGCTGATTGAGTCTTCTTGATTATACAGTATCTTTCTTCGATGAGATTGAACTGCAGCCTACTGTAGACCTGTCAAGCCTTACTGCACAGCAAAATCAGACATCATCTGCCCATTCTCTACCTTTGCTTTTGTGAGGATCAAGGGCATAGAATTTTGATCTATGTCACTTACTGACTCGCAATTGTTAGATTGGCTCACTAAAACTTTTTCTAGGAGGGCTTTTTATAATGTTTATAGAAGGATCTAGGGGATGAATTCTAGATCTAGTCAGGATTCCTTGACATCAGTTAATCAGATTTATTGTACGTGGATTAACACGCATATTGATTCATGAAGAAGATGGTGAAATATGTTTGATTCAGATGACGTAAGAGACATTTCTTTAATGATAACAACAAAATTTTAATGAAACAAAAATAAACAAAATTATACAAAATTGAATCAATCATCGAATAAAGCTATTTCAAGAGAGAGAGCTCACAATTTCTGTAAAAAATCATACTACCTCACATCATGTGTCTTTTTGTCTTCTTCTTGTATCTTTGGTTCTGGAGGAATGTTCTTTCTTATGTTCTTGCACAGCACATAAATAAACCTTTTCTCTTCACTATATTTACCGACTTAATAATTCATTTAGGAGACTTCGGGAATCGGTTATGGGCATTGGCCTTTGGGAGCTTATGTGGAATACGTCTGTCCTCTTTTGGGTCTTCTGGTGTACTCCTCAAATGATACTAGATTCTTTCTCACGAATTTTCACCAATCGGCATCTCGTATTTTTCCACATGAACAGGAAAAAGGGGATTTTACTGAGGGGTTGACAGTTCTCAGGGTGACTAAAATTTTAGGAGATAAGGGAAAACCAAAAAGGATGTTCAACTTCCGTTGAAGGAAGTGACTTTTACTAGTTTCCTTCATTTTAGAAAATATAATTTTTCCACCAAAATCATAGGATATTTTTGTCTAAAATTTGAACTTTTTCAATTAGATTTTTAATTAATCACAGGGGTGGTTCACCTCTCACACTATTATACTCTCACTTCTCGAAAATAAAAACCCACGCAAAACTTAACAAGTGCCCACTCGACAGTTTTGCGTCTACTATAAAAGAATTGTTTCTGTCAGAAAAATAAAAGGTTGGAGTTACAAGGGAGAGTTTCAAAGTTCGGAGGAATACTATCCAATCAGTATATACCGGGTGAGCATTGATATCGATGTCTCCCATGCTCTGAAAAGTTTCAAATTGTTCCCTGAAGACAAGGGAAGACCAATCGGTATTCATTATTTTATGTCACTTCGTTGTCTGAACATAAAAATCTTTCATGAAAGTGTTCGTTAACCGCTCACCCACTTTATAAGCTATATTGTCTTCACTATCCTGATATGACATGTTTGAGTAGAAGTAGACTTTCTTTCAAGAAAACGAAATTATTTAGTTGATTGATTACATTACCAAAAAGCCCGAAGTCTTGAAAAATATTTTATGCATTATGAAATGTCAAAGTTTGATTGTCAGTGCCTCATAGAATATCTTGACAACTGAGCAGTCAATTAATTTAAGCCTAGTCTACATATTTTTAAAGATGATGATTATTGTTGGTGTTAGATAATTGGAGACAAAAAAGAGAGATAAAACGGGGCAGTAAATTTTAAAAAGAGGGCAAATTAATACAAATATGAAGATTGATTGTTTCTGTTACTACTTTGTGTGATATAAGTTGCTGAAAAAGCCAAAAATTTTAAGCTTTAAAAAATATGAGGATGCTTATCTCATAAGTCACTCATTATTAATTCAGTAGTAACAACTGATAATTATTATGATAGTTTCATATGCAACTAAATTTTTTATAATCTGTTATATTATAAAGTGTGCAGTTTATTACATGGTATGCTTTTTATTTACTAAAAATAACTCCAAAATAACAAATTTACACTGTTACAAAAATACTCATCTTTATCACTTGAGCTTTCATAATTTACACTCAAAAATGAATTATTTTATAACTTTTAATGACTATTTACATGTTAAATTTGAATAGCAAATTATATATATATATATAATTATTTTTTTCATTCAAGACATTATAAAAACCTTTTAAAAAGTATTTTTAATGTCTCTAAAATTTGAAAATAGTCTAATAGAAAAATTTAGTAGTGAAAGTCATTTATTTATTAGCACAATTCAATCTGCTACTTTTTTCTCAATCTGGCAACAATCTGGATTTGTGGCTTCCTTTTAATCTCCATCCAAGATTTGAGTACTGTGATCGTTTTATCAATTGAAACAAAGTAATACTGAAACAGAAGCATATAAAATGGTGTTGGGGTATGAATTTGGTGAATTTTGATGAAAATTTTGAAACTAGGGACCTACAACTTAACTAATGACATTTTTTTTTCTCATTATAAGTAAGTTTAACTACAAAATTGGTGGAGCACTGAAAATGTCTAACCTTAATTATTATTATTAATTTATTTCAAATTACAGCATTTTATTTATTTTTGTCTTGCAATTGATTATTCTTTCTTAAATTTTTAAAAATATTATTTACAATTGTTTAATTATTATATACATTAGGAATAATATAATTCAAATGTAACTAGTAATAATATCCTTCAGTAATTATATACAGTATATAAACTATCAGTTGATCAAAGCCGTTGTAATATTTGCCAATGTTTCTTACTAAAATACCATTTAACAAAACACAATATTAAAATATCTTTATTATTATTAAATTAGAACAAGTGAAACCGGACTCTCTGATCTTCGAACTCAAGAAAGAGATATAAGAGAAGAAGTACAAGAAGCAAAGAAACGTCTTCAGGAGATAAATGAAGAGTTAGAATCTATCATGAATGAATTAGGAGATGCCAAAGTATGTAATTATTGCTATATAAAAAGTATTCTTTCAAATTTTATTAGAAGAATATAAATGAATAATAATGTTTGTGTGCAATTTATTATGAAATATTAAATTTTATTCTGTTGTTAACATATTTACTAATCTTGTGATTTGTTGGCACAATTATGAATATTAAAATATGCCTTGGTACTATTAACAAGAAAATGCCTGATCATAAAAATTATGAATTAAAGTAAATTTTATCAATAATTTAATATTCATAATTTGTATTAATTATAAATTATATTTACCCTTAACCAAGGATGTTCAAGTGCTTCCTCAATAGTAATTCTTTCAGCAGGATCAACAAGAAGCATCTTTTTAACAAGATCTCGAGCATGATCACTAATATGATCCCATTGTCTTCCAACCATCTTTAAAAAAAAATTTTTCAATTAGTATTTATTACAAATGTATTGATAACATTTCTTATTCATGAGTTTTTTAAAAAGACCAGTTTTTTAAAATGAATATGTTTTAAAATCTTATTTTCCATTCTGTTTATTAAAATTTTGAAATTAAATATCACATTACCATAGATAGATTAAATTTGTTTTTTCAGTCACATTTATAAATTTTTAAGAAACAATAGACATTTAACAAGTAATACAAACCAAACTACACAGGAATTAATTTAATATATATTTTTAAATCATCATCTTATTTAATGTATGAAATTTAATGTACATATTTTATTTAATTGAACTTTTTAAAAACCTCACAAAACTATTTTAGTATTTTATTTAGCTTATAATAATTGAAACAAAAAATATCTATTTATTATAATTTCCAATTCAACTCAGTAAAACTTGTGTAAACTGGAATTGCACTGTAATGAATTATTTTTTCTATTTTGGCAGGTTTTTATTTGAATAGGTTTTAGTGTATTTTAAAACCAAATAATTGTCAAATTATATCAGGCTATATTACTACTACAGTAGACCCCCCTATAATTATGGTCCCTATAATTACGATTCCTATAAAACTGCGAAAAAATTGTGATGGTATCTGTAAAAAAAGGTAAAAAAACTTCTATAATTACGTGAAACGTCATCGGGCAGCCGAACTATTTTCCACCGTCAAGTGCCATGCTACGGAGAAATTACTATCGTCTGTACAGTATTATATATAAATTAGGTACTGTACATATAATTATATATTAATTATATATAAATTAGGTACTGTATATATAATTATATATTAACTTAATTTATTGTAACTTTATTATAATTA